GAACCCCTCTACAACCCTGAATGAGCTGCCCAAGCTTGGAGCACCCCACAACCCAATCCAGCCTGTGGCTGGTCATTCTCCCCACAGCTGCAGCCATGCCTGGGTTGCCCTGCATCCCCACCCACTGCCCTGCACTTGTGGGGGCTAAGCCCCATTAGCCCCAGCCTTCTGTTGCCTATGTCTCAAGCACAAAGTAACACAACTTGCATTAAGCAGAGTCCTTTATTGTTCGCAAAAACCAGACTGACCAATTGAAATTTGTTGTAACCGTTCTAGTTTTAAATATCTTCATGTTGTAATGTTGCATACCTCTTTTTTCCTGATTAGCCTGCACAGGGAAAGGACATGTGAGAACTACTGTACATAACAGGATGCACATCCAATAAAAAGGATTGGAAGTGTTTTGACATTTGAGGTGTGCCTGGTAAACATCCTTTGAAAGCAACACCCAGGAGGTCTAAACAGGAAAACTTGGCATGAAACAACGAATAAAGGAGATGAAAATTAGGAATCCTCCTTAAAAGACCGTGTTTGCTATACTGCAGTTGCCCAGTGTCTTTATTGAAAAGATGCTATCTGCTTGGCTCCTTGGGACTCACCAGGTACACCCCTTACCTCTTGATAAGAGAAGTCCCTCCAGTTCATCTACTGAGGGAAGGCTATGGATAACTAAAGGAAGTCAGTGTCCAAGGCTATATAGAGTCAAAAAACCCCTGAGGCTAAATCAATTCAATCTTTGCATGTTAGTTTAAATGGTGTAGATTGAACCAATAGGCAAGTGAACAGACATTTACTTTTGATTCCAGAATTGCAAACACATGCCTGTGGTGGCCCAGGCCAGAAGCAAGGGGGGACGGGGCAGCGCAGCAGGCACACTTGAGCACATCGGTCTACTCTGCTGGAGCAGACAGTTTAGGCCAAGGCTAGCCCACCCAGCCTGTAAAGCATCCCCAGATGCTAGGGGACTGAGTTAACCTGAATCCAGAGAGGATCTGGGATAGAAGTTCAATAAACTGATTTAACTTAAATCAGTTAAATCTGATACTACCTCCATCCAGTCTCATCTTAAAACTACTTTCAAAGTGGCTGAAACCAGTTTATGTGCACTGAACTTCTTTTGTTACAGATCTGATCCTTTACATTCGTGTGTGTGCAACTTCTGTCCCTAGCCCCGAAGGCCCGGCCCGGCCCTGGAATCAGAAGAGCCAGGGAATTCTTCTACTCACTGTAGTATGGTTTTTCCTCAGCATTTTTTAAGCTTAAGGCACCCCACCCTTTTAGAGTGCTAGCTTTCAATTGCTTTTTATTTTGTTGCAAAGTATTCAAAAGACCACAATGGATCAGAAAGTTTTTAATACTGTAGTTTCCTATTTATTAATATTAGGATTTATTTTGTAAATTATGTTTGCATACCTATCACTGCTAACACTATGTACCACTGCTGAAAAGGCTCTCAGCACCCTAATGTGTCATGGCATCCTGGTTGAGAATCACTGCTCTAGAGGCTACACCTGGGTTGGTGTCAGGGATTTCAGACTAGACCAGGCTGGGGGCCCCAAGCAAATATTCCCCTAAGAAAATTTATGACAGAGCCTACAGTGTTCCTTGTTCTGAATAAGACAAACTTTGAGCAGTGGGAAGTAGTATTTTTGAAGGATGGAGAAATTGTGGGCCAACATTGCCAATACATATCATTAGACCAGGTGAGGAATGACTACTAATCCTAAAACTCTTCGAAAGCAGTAGACAAGTAACTCACATCCCCCCCCAATCATGTAATAAAATACTTTTATAAGACAGAAAAATCAGGATCACAGGCCAAGTTTAAAGAGTGGGTTCTAGTAATTATTAGTTTAACTTAATTCAATACATCATTAAGTTCTGAAAGTGCCTTTGTTTTGAGAAGACAGAATATTCTCCTTAACCTTAATGTATCTTTTAAAAATACTGAATAATTTTAAGTTACTGACACATTGGTAAGTAACCTTAAAGCAATTTGTTTCAACTTTTACCTTTGCTTGATCCTCCTCTTGCCTCCAGAACGTGGAAAAACAAACAAACGAACAAAAAAAAAAGAAACCAACAACGCAACATACAACACCAAAAAAAATCCCAAAGCCCCCCCCCCAGACACAACCCCCATACCCTTCCCAGGTCAAATCTTTCCTCAGTTGCTCCTCCCCACATAACTGGAGCTGCTACAGACTGCACTGTGACATTTCTACAACCTAAAAAAGTTGACAGTGTACATACATGGTAGGAGAGCAATTTGAGGGAGTAATCAATGTGATCACAGCAAGCCACAGACTGTAATCAGTAAGTGAACCACTTTCTAGTGGACTCTGTTAGTCATTTGTTCTTGCCTCTGCTGTTCTAGGGATATGAACATGCTGAATTGTATTTACTTGCAATTACAAAGGTATTTCAGTATTCTCCCATTTAGTGGGATAAAAAAAAAAGAAAAAAAAAGAAAAAAAGAGGGACTTGGTTGCAGGTAGAGCAGTCTTTTACCACTTCCTTCAGAGATGGATCATTGGGAAGTATAGCTTCAATGGATTGCCAAGCTTAGACTGAACCATGGAAAAAGCTGCAGGTCCTTCAGGTACCCTTTTATTGGATGAAAAGGGTCTCCTCCTTTTTTTTTTTTTTTTTTTTAGGAAACAATTAAGAAAAAAGTTGCCTTTCCAACTTTGAGACTCAAATACACTGCCTGCCAAATATAATTAGATTTACTGAACAGCAGACAGTTTTACAGCCAAAGGGCTTCTATAAGCAGGCCTTTACGCTTATGGAAAATATTACCAATATTTAGGTTGTGAAGTCAGTGTTGAAAGTTAGGCGATACTGGATTGCTCCTGAAATCTACCCTCCTGTCGGTTCTTCTGTACCGAGTGAGGTAGGAGTCCTATGGGAAAAAAGGTGTCTTCAATTATGTGGTCAGACCTTAACCATGCTGGTGTCAGAATCAAGGTTGCAAATATAACCATAAGCCTTTAGAATGCTTTACTTGCATATCTTATACAAATCAAGCATTTTTTAAATATGAAGTTGCAAAGCCAGATAAGTGGTGCTTTACCAGTAACTGCTGCTGCCTTTCAGAGACTTGAGCTCTTTCTTGAAAAAGATCATGAGAATCTGTTGTAATGAAAAGTTTACTTCTCACTGTTAGAAAAAAGCTTTTTTTATGAACAATTAGTTACTAGGTGCAGTTACAGCCCAGGGGTTGGCAATGTTTTTGGGCAGTGCGCCAAAAACATCCACAACTTTGACTTCCAAGATGTTGGTGCACCAGGAAAATACAGCAGGGGAGCCACAAGGGGCCTGATCCTGGTTGTGCCAGTGTAGCCCTGGCCCCTCCCCCACTGTCCACCCTGACACATGACAAGCAAAATGCCTTCACCTACCTCACTCTGGCACCTGTCAGTGCCTAGCCCTGCTCTAGCATGCTTCAAATGCTGTACTCAACCCAATGCATTATGGAATGCTGTCTTATCACAGCTATGCATGCTGTTATAAAACTGTTGCATATACTTTAAGAACTTGCCTGCTAAATTAACATTTCCTTACAAAAATAAAAAAGCTTCAGTAATTAATATTATTGTTTCCCCAGGGCTATTTTTTTTTGTTAGTATTAAACTCAGTATTTTTAATCTCTACTAAATAAAAGCATGCTTAAAATTACAGCTGTAGCCTCAGGAAAAAGCACTACCTGTTAGTTACTCTAGGGTTCCCACCCCCAGAGAACATACATTTCAAGTCCCCTTATTTGCCAAAATTTCTACATAGGTTATATTTTTTTCCTTAACAAATTACAAGGACAGATTTGCCAGGTTTTGTGTTGTTTTTTTTAAACTTGCCTAACCAAAGCTTCTGGTTACATCCCCAACTACTTCAAGTTGTGCAAGGTAACATGTGCACCCTATTTCTACTCATGCAGGACTATCCAACTTAGAAAAGGGTGCAAATCATACAAAAAAAGTGAGAGACCTGCACCAGTTTAACTGAAGTCCAATGTACCTTTTCTCTTTGTGCACCTTTTACTGACAAATCCATGCTTTCTCCATCAGCAGTTTCACACCCACCCTACAAACACCCCAAGATCACTTTTTACAATGTAAAAATATTAGTCTGTGATAAACACTAGTAATAGCCATATAACTTGAAAGTCTTCCCCAGAAGTGTTAGCATGTATGCAGGAGTAATGTAAAGCTTTCTTATACAAAACTGTCCCAATGTACTACAACCTTGTTTTATGACACTGAATCTCAGACTCATTAGATTCAAGGTACACTTGGGGACGGGGGTGGGGACGACACGACACAGGGACAAAACAAAAACCTAAGCATTTGACTACAGGAAAAAAATTCTCTTGCTGGCCCCAGCAGCCTTACCTGGGGTCCTGGAGGCTTCTAGAAGCTGCAGCCACAGTGCTCCTGCAGCTGGGAGCCTGGCTGGCTAGACCTCTTTTTAGGCAGCTCATGTGCGCTGCCCAACTTTTAAAGAGCAGGGTTTTTTTGACCCCAGGATCTCTCAAAAGGTCAAAACATGCCTCCATGCTGCAAGGTAGCAGCACAGGGAATGCCTGCATGTGTGGTGCCACATATTGCACATCTGTGTTTGTCTGGATGTGGCCTATGGATTCTTTATTTGAAACTTCTGGGTTTAGCTTGTGAGAACGTTTGCAGACCTAGCAGTGTAAACAGTGCTGTGGCAACCTGGTTGAGAATTACTAAGCTATGATGTTCCTAAATCCCTATGCATAGGCTGTTCATTTCCTGAATAAAGCTTTTAGAGCTAAGAGTGCCATCATCAGCACTTAACCAGGAATTCAAAAATATGCATTTCTGATTCAACATACAAAAATCAAACTGTTAAAGTGGGTAGCAGAAGGGTCCCGAGCTGAAAAGACTTGTTGTTCAGTCTTCTATATCACTAATGGAAACACACATTAAGAATTCTTAGACACTAGGTCCTTTAGAAAAGCACACACAAGTACCCAGTTCAGAAATTTCTTTTAATTTTTTTGTATGTGTATATAAAAAAGTCATTTGAGAATTTACAAAAAGTAGAAGTTATTGAATCCATTATGGACTACAATTTGAGGTCACATTCAACATTCATGGCTGCTTAATACTTAACTGGAAGTTATAAAATTCAACACTATATAAAAAAAAAAAAGAATAGTACCCTTTAGGTCTGTGGTTATTTAGGTCTATACAATAACTTCTGTTTCCAAGTAGAGATATCCTTTAGGTGAAGGTCTTTCTTCTAGGATGGAGATACTTGCCTCAGTTGCTTTTCCCCTGCATTACTTTAAGATATCACCCTGCAGGATCCACAGTGAGGTAGTGGAGGGGGAGGGAAAAGAAAGATACATTTATCAGACATAAAAAAAAAAAGTACTGATATCAAAAAGAACATTCTTCACATTAAAATTGTCAAAATGTATTTAAAAAATACAAGATTGATTACCTGCATCACCAATTGAAAGCTTCTTCTATAGGAATGTATTTTTAAAAGAGTACCTTAAAATACACAACTCACCAAGTCAATAATACATGTGCACTATCAAAAAAACGAACTAGAATAATTTCTCTTGTTAAAATGATGTAAACTGGACAATTCTGAATTAAGAAATCTAGTTTTAAATATTAAAGCTTGCCTTAATTTTTAGTCATTTTCTACTGATAAGCAGATTTCAAGTCTCACCTTTGCATCAACCCACACCCCTGCTGGGAAAATGGGGACAGACTATGTATTCATTCAATGCAAGTTAAAAACACAAAAAGTGAAGTTTTTAAAAATGGACACAAATTTAATGCGAGTTTCCCATTTCTGCAAAGGAAGAACTAATGCCTTATAGCTATAGCTGTCTCTCAATATGCATATCCTTGATTAAATGAATCACCAATTAGATTTTTACATTGCATTCTACAATCCTTGTATCCAAAAAGCATCCAATTAAGGAAAAAAGTGTTAAGAACTAGGAAGAAAGTAACTCAAAGCATGGCAGCCACAAGTACAGTAGCAACACTCAGCAAGTTGGCCCCTGCCCCCTAAAGAAATCTGTTTGGAGAATGGAGAGTGCTGGCTATGAAAACAGCACTTGTTGCAACTCTTGGAAAAGCTTTTGCACATTTATATAAAATAATTTATTCTACATATTGTAATTAAGGGGGGGGGAGGGGGAGGAGGCAGCATATGCAAAAGTAGCTAAAAGGATGCTCTCTCCAAATAAAGTGCTACCAATCTACAAAGCTTTTCAGATTAGATAGGTTTTTACTTTAATCACATAGTATACAGCTTTCTCCATAAAACTAATCTACAATAAAAAAATGGCCTTTTCTACTTTACCAGATTGGAGAACTGGTATGTTAAAAGCAGCTGGTACTTAAAACTTGAAATATTTCCTGGAAACTGTGTATGCCTAACAAGATTAAATAAGCCTCAATACCCATATATTTTAACCCCTCAAGTTATGAGTAGGCTTCAGCAACTAAAAAAGCCTAACTTTCTAGATTAGATTTTAAGTGTTCAGAAAGGATTCCTGGCCCTCAGTCAAGACTAGTTTATGTACCAAATACAAGCAGGCACACAGTATACTAAAAAATACAGCAGGTATTTGAAGACAATTTGGCCCAGTACATAGTAAGCAAATTGTTTTCAATGTCATCTCTGCTTGAGATGTAGAAAGTTGTCCTGATGGGTTATCTAATTTGTTCAGACAGCCATAGCGATTTCCATGCTGTTTTTATTTAAGCCAGGACAGTAATTGCAATATAATGTATAAAAACCTGCAAGTGTGACAACACAAAAGTTAAAACTTTTGTAGCAATTCATGCCAGTACTTTCAGAAGTTTACATTCTAGAAGCCAACAGGACTAAAATTACAAAATTTAAATCCTGAAATTAACGAGAAAGAGAGAAAAGAAAAAGAAGTCAGTAACACACACACACACACACACACCTTACAGCTAAAACTGTTCAAGTGAAACAAATGAATGTATACACACAATGCTTTTAAAATTGTAAATAATGTAAATCTAGGTCCAGCTAATACTGCCTAAAAGGTAAAGCTTGTACTACGGCTCTTTACAGGAAAGACACAGCCCGCCTGACTGAATTGTTTAAATAGTGTACCAGACTAATGTCTACACAGAAGGCAGAAAGGGACTACCATAAAAACATCCCCAACTACTGTTTTATTCAATAATTGAGGGGGAGGGGAATTCCCCCCCCCAAAAACCCACACCAAAACACTACCTAGGCACACCCCAGTCCAAAAAACAAGAGCAGTGCCAAGTACTCTCCTGCAAAAACCTTCTCCTCACAGAAGTGGAAGTTATTTTATTGCCTAGTCATCACATAAAAACAGCATTTCTCTCTCTCTCTCTCTATATATATATATGCATAGAACTGCCTCCAAACAAGACATGCCACCTCAGTTTTGAAAGGCAGAATGAAAAAAAGATTTTTTTTTCCTTGAGAATACCAGTAAGCACAATCATTTTGTAGGGTAAATAAGCAGCGAAGAGGGATAAAGAACAAAAAACAAAAACAACTGTGTGTGGCTGCTCTGTTAACCCCCTAGCTGCAGGATGTGGCAAGTGCTACTGGCTGCCCACTTGGCTCAGGAGGCCAGGCCAAGCAAGTATGCCTTGTGCAGGAGCAGAATCTCTGCTCCATCCGTTTCTTTAGGACATGCACACCTCAGATTTCTAACAGCCACTTTTCCAGAAAAGTGCATACTGTATGCAAATAAGGCATCTTAAAAAGTTACTTCTAGCTTAAAAATAGGCCCTACAAAAAAAAAAAAAAAAAAAAAAAAAAGTTGAATTGGGTCAACATTTTAAAGTCTTGTGCTGTTGACAGCATCCATATAGTCTGTCGCTTGATAACTAAGTTTGTACAGGGCTTTTGTGGACCTGCAATAATGCACAGACTAAGTCCTAAAAAGTGAATTATTCAGAATTGCTCCTCTACTCCCTAGTATACACTTTGGGCAGGAGTAGAGAACATCTTGTTTAAACCAATTTATAGCATGCATGTTTGCTAGTTTATGGTACATTGTAATTTATACCCATATCAGTACAGCAGTAATCTTAAAGTATAGAGGCCCACACCAGCAGACAAAAAACTTGACTAAAAAACCCAAGATGCAGCAGCTGAAGTGGGCTAAAAACATTTCTACTCTTATCAAGAAGCAGCATCAGTACAAAGCTACTAAAAAAAGAAAAACGATTCCAGGAAGAATTAAAAGTGCCGAGATATTTTGCTGTGCGCTACAAATCTTACCCAATCAGAAACCGTCACAATGAAGAGGACACTCAAGATATTCCCCATTTTCTCAAGCAACAGCTTCTCCTTCAACCTGCAAATTAAAGATGTTACTCTCACCTTGTTTAAGAAAACCATTACCCTTTAATTCAAGAAAAATTTTAAAAGGCAAACCTTACCTATGCTCATTGCCCTTCCTTTCAGGTCTAAATGCTAGACCTATTGATTTTGAGTCAACTCAAGTAGCTATCACTCAAGGAGGTTCCAAAAGGTGAAGAACTCTTGCTAGACTTTCTTCGATATTTCAGCTGTGATAAGCAGATTTAACTAGCCTTTGGAAAGCTGCTCACTATCAGCACAGTATCTTATGCCTTCACTTTTCTGGAAGTTGAAGCTGTTGCTCCTGCTGCCTTGTCATTCTGTAATTATGCTGACTTGTCCATACTCAATAGGCTGCTGAAGTCCTGTCTTAAGTCTTTGATCCATACTTTGCTAAGAAGTATACCTAGGTTCTTTAAAACTGGTTAATTGCTGTCCTCAAAGCTTACACTTCCCCACATTGCATACCAGAACTACACTATCCCACCCACCTACAAAACAGGTCACTTGCAGACTTCAAGATTTGGTTGCAACCTTTAAGCAGATATTGATAAAACTTTATTATCATGCTGAATTTCAAAGTAAGCATAGTCACAATGCAGCTACAGAAACCCTGTTAAAAAAAGAACACTGTCAAGACCTTCTACAAATCCAATAATATTGGATCCACTTTTCTGAAGGGACATTTACCAACATTCCAATTTGGTCCCTTCAGATGCAGGCGCAAGTCTGACTACTATAGGCAAATATTTGCTTAATGCAAGTCAGAAATTGTTCAGTTTTGCAAAATGAAGGTTAGATGCCAAATATAACACCTTTTGAAGTCTGACCCACTATGCACAAATTCCAAGATGTTGCTTAAAAAGAAGCCCACATACTAGACATATACCCCTCATTATTGTATAACTTTCCAACCCCCATCTTAAATTAATAGTCTTACTCCATGGATCCATAAGAGGTGAACAATTATGGACTGTTTTTAAAGATTAAGATCTACGTTGTACCTTCACACAAAAAAGCAGGCTTTAAAAGCAAATGAAAAAAAAAAAAAATTGCATTTAGCAACCTTGACAGTGCTCATTGTTTCAGCATACTGAGATCTGAACATGTTCCCATAACAATGTTTGACAACATTGTTCAAAATGATTTTGTAATACACCTTATGTGCTTTGATGCATTTTCTACAACTTCTTTAATTGCAATTTTTAGCAGTTTGGATCGTAACTTAAGCCACAACATAAACATCTTTGCACATCCATTCCTATGCTGGAATTGCATTTACCTTATACTGCACATTGACCCAGAGGTGAAACACGTGAGAGCAATTCCAGCACCACATACTGTCAAATGTCTGGGACTTTCTTCTACTGACTGTGTCCCTACTCTTCTGAGTCTGTATTGAAAGAAAGCAATGCCCTGGCAATAGTCGAGAGAAAAGTCAGATCAGCTTGAAAGGGCAGGCTAAAGCCTGGATTTGGGAGGTGTTGGGGAGGGGGAAGGGTGGCAGGTAGGGAGTCCAGAAATGAGGGATTGAGCTCACTTGCTAAGGCCTTTATGTTAAAAAGCTTGTATCATTCCAGTGTATCAAATGAAAAATTGGAACACACCAAACTAAACATGAACTCTGTAAGCAGAGTGGTACCAAGTCTGCTATCATGTGGTAGCCAGAAAAAAAAAATCCCACTTCCAGCCAATAAAACAAACAAACAAAAAAAAAAAAAAAAAAAGAGGACAGAAGGTTTTCACTTAACCTCAAAACCTTATTTGAACAGGTTCTCAAGGTAAGTGCTTATGAACTATGCTAATTTGTCCAGCATCAGGAGTCTCTCAATGGATTACCTGGGATTGTGAGGGATTACACTTGTGCTACCCTTGGCTCCCAGTCAGAAGAATGTATCCAGAAAGTTGCCTATGGTGCATGCAAGAAAGTATATAGCCATTAAGTTGTTTTTCAATATATACCTCTCTCTCTCTCTCTCTCTCTCTCTCTCTGACAGCTTGGTCAAATGAAATAGTTAAAATCAGGGGGAAAGAAGGAGCAAAAGAGGTCCATGCTACCCTCCCAAAGTATGGCAATTTTATTCATATACCAAAAGAGGTATGTTCTAGGGCAGGGGTGTCAAGCTTGTCTGGCCCTGTGGGCAAATAAGCAGCGCAAGACAAGCCCACAGGCCAGACCACACCCATGGACTCCCCTTCCCCTATGCCAGTCCAGGACCTGGCAGAAAGAGGCTTGACATTTTTAGGCGCTTGGCTGTTGCCAGTCTGAGATTTTCCTACGCTGCCACAGCTCTTGCCAACTTGGCTGTCAATCACCCAAATGAGAGCAGCAGCACTGCAGGAAAAGTCCTGTCACCACAGCTTTTTCCCCCACAATGCCCAAATGCCTGGGCAAGAGCTATGGGGCTACTAGGGCACTTGCACCATGGGAAGAAGCCCAGCATTGTGGGCATTTGCTACTGCCATGGGAACGAGCCAAAATGCTGGGTTTATTCTTGTGGCACTGGAGCCTTATGAGTACCATGGATCTTGTCCTGGCACTTGGCTGTAGCTACAGAAAGTTTCCCTCCTCCCCCCTTCCCCCAATCAATGCTGCAGGCCAACTGATCACCTCTGCAGATTATATCCAAAACCCCCATTTTAGGGTAACAGGTAGGGGAGTTCATTTTTTTTTTTTTTTTTAAAGTAATAAAAAGGAAGAGTGTATAAAAAACAAGCCCTTCTCTTCACCCAGAATCTGCACAAACACTGCAGGTATCCCCTTAATACATCTCAAATGAGGCAGCTTGAATGTGGCTGAAGTCATTTTTTGTTTAAAATATTTACTATGCCTTATGTTTTGCAGAGCTAGCACTAATACAGAGCAAGTTAAAAAATATGCACAAACCAAAGTAATTTGAAATTTTCATTTGAAAGTAAAACTTAAATTCTATAATTCACAAATACTAATTTAAATTAAACTCAATCCTAGTTGTACATCTAAACAAACTATATTGCAACATACAAATGTCTCCTCTGTGTGCATATATAACTCATGTCAATGGCAGTTGCATATACATACACACTTAGAGACTAGACCCTTTAAGACTGCAGATCAGATGGTGTTTCTATTGTTAACTTTAAATTAATACAAAATAGTAATTCAGAAGCGCATTAATCTCTCTATTAACTAAACAAGGAAACACCCTAAGCTATATTTCTTTATTTTTGTTAAAGAAATTTTACTATGTGGAAAAACTGAACTACACAAATATTGAAAAGTTAAAAATTCCTTAATTGTTTTTTTTATTCCTGGTACCACTACCACAATTTACAGGGCAATATACCTGATGTAATGGGAAACAAAACAAACAAAAAAAAGAAAGAAAAAAGACAAAGCTACAACAGATAGAAGACCTCAGGAATGTACATCTAATTGACACTACATTGCATTAATCAATAGCTGCACTTTTTGCAAACTGTGGCTATGACAGTCCTGAACAAGAAGGGTTTCCTGTTTAAGCTGCAGTAAATTTTCTGACTATGGATCATCGTTCCTTCTGTGGCAGATTTTACAGTTCCTCTAATGCATTTGGGACGACTGTCTCAAAGTAACCTGCAGCTTTCCTGACAACTCCTCGCTCTCTCTCCTGCTAAGAACTGTAGCCTGTTGAATACAGGATAAGAAAATTATTACTCTCAGTGAACAGTGGTTTATTTTTCACAATCAACATAAATATGTACAAATACCTACCCATTTCTGATAATACATTTTTAGAATCTTCGCCCTCCATAGCCACCACTTCCCCCTCCAGATCCATAACCACCTGTAGACAGTAATATACATGTTATAGATGTAATATTTTTAAAGTATTTTTGTTGTAATTTTTGCCCCCAATTAATTCATATTTACCACCATAGGGACTGCCTGAGCTCCTGCCACCAAAGCTGCCACCTCCTTTCATCGGTCCATAGTTAGATTGCTGCTGTCCACTATAATTGCCAAAATCATTATAGTTTCCACTGCCACCATAGTTCCCTGAAATAAAGATTTTATTTCATTTTTATACACTATATATAATTGAACCATCTCACATTCACTACTGAAGAAATAACTTTATAAACAAAAGCTGGACAACTCCACAAGTAGGCCTCAGGTTGTATTCTTTCGGGAAATCAAAAGGAAAAGCTACAATTAAGGCTAATTCAGAACATCTTGAAAACAGAAGAACTGTTTACTGCAGCTTTGTTTTTTCCAATACCAAGTAAAAGTTTTAAACTAGTTAAATACTGTTTTAACCAAGAACTGGAAATAAACACAGCTAGATAAATAGAGATACTATTAAACAAGATGAACTGCTTCATAATTTCTTTGGGCTGAAAACCTTGTTAGCTACCAAAATGAACTTCTAGTATGTCAAATATTTTTACCCTCTAGAAGAAAGGGATTCTTTTATCTCCATCTGACTATCCCACTTCATGACCTAGTTTAGTTACCTTTTAAAAAGGCCCAACTGAAAGTAATTAAATACGTGTTAAACGAACTGCTTTACTAAGCTGGTGCATAGGCCTATTCTCCACACACAGACAACACACTGATCTTAACTAGGATCGGATTCTTACAAGGTTTAGTTAAAGCCAGTGAAGGCTCTTGTGTAGGACTAGTCAAATCAAAGCCATTAATGTATTATCTACTTAACTATTCATACTCCAATTTTAAAAGACATCCACAAAAAAGGGCTGCATTAAATTAAACCAATTATTTAAGTCCGTGCACTATCACAATAACTACAAAGACAGAAGCCTCAGAGAGCCTATTTACATGGACAGAGTGACCCACTCTCCCTTGACATCAGTAAGATCCATAACAGTTAAGTCAAGTCTACACTACACACTAGCATTTTGCTGGTATAGTTATAGTAATGCAGCACAGTTGCAAACATGGATGCAACTTGTACTGAAGCTGTACTTTTGTAGCACAGTATATTTCGCCCTTTCACATCACATGGCTCCATTAATTTTGGCCCAACCTTACTATATCCCCTAACAATTTTAGAATTTATCTGTAATTTTGGATTCTATGCAACTTAAGTCTGTTAAACAGTAAGAGTTAATGTGCATCTATTCTTAAAATAGAAATCTTACCACCACCAAAATTTCCTCCTTCGTTGTAACCATCGTATCCTCCTCCTCCACCACCATATCCACCACCTGGGTTTCCATAGCCTGGTCCTCCACCACCGCCATAACCCCCTCTACTACCATAGCCAGGTCCACCTCCATAGTTCCCACCTTAAAAAAATAAAATAAAATAAAATAAAAATGATCAGGTCTTCCCCATAATAAAGTGTGGATTTACCTAGAAATGAATTGTTTCAGTCAGAGCTACAAAAAAAATTAACATGTGTTAGGCTACGTGGCTGTTCTATACCACAGTATGGTAAGGCCACCTCCCATACCAGCGAATGCAATTTTGTTTAAGTCAAGGATCATAACTCTTCATGCTCCTGACTAACCTATACTAACAGTTCTAGCCTGAAATCTGCTTTGTAGCTTTCGATCCAAACGAATGATTCTTAACCAGGAAGCCCTTGCACCCTAGGTTGCTGGAAAATCTTTTGAGGGGTGCTACAGGAGGCATGAGGGGATAAGCAGATGGAGGCAGGTCTCGGGCTTTTCTTGACTGGCTACTCCCCCAGCCTGTCTGTATGGAGGCAAGCATGGTAATAAAGTAAATTAGTTTTTGAAACAGGGAGTCTTGAGGTTGAGAATCGGATCCAAATAATACAGCTTTGGTTACATTTGCACCATTGAGAGATGTCCTTTTGCTCTTACATAAGTCGGAAGCAAAGAGTTAGACAAATCACGATGCTCTGAGTATGGGATTAATTTTTATGCAGATGAATAGTACAGATGAACTGTGCAACTATGCACAAGCATATGAAGAATCAAAACTGACTTTACTGTAGGCTATCCTCCCATATTCTTTAAATAGCACTTCTCTATCTACAACAATTGAAAAGAACTTCCACAAATCCAATCAGTTAATTTTGGATGCTTATCTAAATCTAAGTTACCAGAACATTAACTGTTTTATGAAATGCTTCTTACATCTGAAATATTTAAAAGACAACTCCAAGGTCACTATGGCAATGAACTTTTCAAAAGTTCAGCCAGAAGCAGACAACTGTAATAAAAGTTAACTCATTTAACCATTTTATTTATCATGTATACTTATGTGGCTGTACCATTTATGAGGTTTTTAAAAATCCTATTTGGATTTGAATCTGTTTCTACTCATTTTAATACAGCTTGTTTACCTCCAATTTTGAAGTATTTGCTTTTAACATAATACACATAGTAAGTAAACAATTACTGTAAGGGTCTTGCATTAAAAGCCTTCACTTACCATCACCAAATCCATTGTAGCCATCTCCACCCCCAAAGCTTCCTCTGCTCCCGCCGCCACCACCACCGCCACCGCCACCATAGCCTCCTGCATTAGGAATAAAACCCCCCATTTTAATAAACAGAAAACAAGCCAGGTGTTAGCGCCACAAGGTGCAGCAAAACACATTTTTGGGAATTCAAAGGAATTACCTCTGCCACCAAAATTTCCTCCTCTGCCAAAGTTTCCACCACCACCTCCAAAATTTCCACGACCCATGAAGTTGCCCGAGCCACCACCACGACCTACAAAAACATTTTGCACTGATTAAATTGAAAGAATTTTTCCTTTAATACAGAAGGAAGAGGACCACCCCACATTTACCTCTTTGTGAGCTAGCAGTCTGCATCTCCTGTTTTGAGAGTGCCTTTTTCACTTCACAGTTATGTCCATTTATAGTATGGTATTTCTGAACTGAAAACAAAAAAGTTTGAGATTGAGAAATTTTGAAATTAAGAAAATGATAAGCAACTCCACCATCAGAGCAGTGAGGCACAAGTACACAACCTAGAGAAAGGAATGGCAAATTTTGTAAGGTTTACTAGATGCAAGACTAAGTCTCCCTTCACAACCAACTACTTGCATATTATTCCATGCATTATTCAGGTATATGCAACTTAGAAACAGTCTGTCCATGGTTTTCTACTGATTACTTACCAACAATTTTATCAACTGTATCATGATCATCAAAAGTCACAAAAGCAAAGCCTCTCTTCTTTCCACTTTGCCTGTCTTCCATGACTTCTATGGTTTCAATCTTGCCATATTTTTCAAAGTATTCTCTTAAGTTATACTCCTCTGTATCTTCTTTAATTCCACCAACAAATATTTTCTTTACTGTTAGGTGTGCACCAGGTTTTACAGAATCCTACAAGAGCAGACATTATGTTTATTATCTTACATTTTGCAATTTCATGAGTTGTACCTGGTTCAGCAAGGTATTAAGCCTACCTCTCTAGAAACTGCTCTCTTTGGTTCAACCACACGCCCATCAACTTTATGTGGTCGAGCACTCATTGCAGCATCTACCTCCTCCACACAGGAGTAAGTCACAAAGCCAAAACCTCTGGAACGTTTTGTTTGTGGGTCTCTCATCACCTATAATAATGCAAGAGTCACTGTATTACCTAACAAAATTAACTGCTTATGCTCCTCCAAAAAGTTAAAGGTCATAAGCTTACCACACAGTCTGTTAGTGTGCCCCATTTTTCAAAGTGTTCTCTTAAACTATCATCTGTCGTTTCAAAACTCAAGCCTCCAATGAACAGCTTTCTCAGTTGTTCAGGCTCTTTAGGCTCATGACCCTGAGGGAAGAAGATTAAAAAAAAAATTCATATTCCAATATATATATTTATTTTTTTTTTTGTATAAGCAATAAAAATAAATGTATTTGGATAACTACATTATGACATTTTTATGAATAATTCACCAAAGTTGGGAAGCTGGGATGCTGCAATAGTAACAAGTTTATAGTAGGGTAAGAAAATACCAAGCCAGGAAAAACCATTTAGAACCTGAAAATCAAAGAAATAGTGATCTTAAGGTAAAAAACAAGACAACTATTTTTTAAGGTGTGCATGTGTAAATCTTACAAAATGCTTTATTTTCATAGAAGATGTGACAAGATAAATATGTAAACATTAAGGTATTAAATATATTGTATAAAAGGTAGTAAACTCTAATAGTGCTAAAAAATAAAAAGGAGTCTTGGACTCCAGTACCAACATTATTATTCTAAAAAAAATAAATACCAGTAAAAGAAACATTTTTGCTTTCCTGACTGGGAAGTGACATGTCTTGCCAATAATAGTCATTAATTATGCCAGGATGGAATATTAACAATATAAACATTGGTGTCCTCTATTCCTCACCTAAAAGCCAAACAGTCTTGTCTATGACGTGTTGCTGCACTGGTTTACATCAGTAAATAAATTAAATGAATGTGTGTGTATATGTACAGACATGCAATTTAAAACAAAGTTATTTCCATTAGCTAAAAAAAAAAAAAAAGAATCAGATCAGGAGTTTAAGTTTCTGCAGAAATTTTCCTAGTTTAAAACAAGACTGAAGTTGCATGGAAGGATCTCTTTGTCTTCAGTGCTGTGGAAATATCACTTGGATGTGGCACTCAAAAGTGTGCCAGCCAATTTTGATGGTGCAACAGAAACTACACAAATATTAAACAACTTTTATCAATGAATAAAAAAAGTAGAACTGTTCCAGGTCACATGTGCAAAAAATAAAGACACTAACATAATATAATTACCAATCATTTAGTGACTGGACTTCCACATAAGAGTGAAATGGATGACCTATATTTTTAAGTGCTGGCACAAAGCCATTTGCACAATTTGAATCCTGCAATGCAGAAGCACAGAAGATGCTGCATCTGCCATCAATGAGCTACCACAAGTAGGCTCAGGAGAGCTTGGGCTATCACGCTGCTGCAAGTACAGCATTCTGACTCTTCTCAGTTATAAGAGGGATTTTTCCTTCAGAGTTAAAAGGAAGTGTTAATTTCCTACAAGGCAAATATGTAGGGCAAATCCATTACTTGGGCAACTAGTTCTCAGCAAACCCAAAAGAGATTGTAAATTTTGTACTACTTGTTATGCAAATGGTCTCTATACTGCAGTGCAACAAGGAGCAGTGCCTGGCTGCTAGTATGATTCTGGCTAATATTTTCTGTTGATCAACTGCATGGAGACAGGCAAAATACTTTCTCAATATTAACTTTCCAATTAGAGAAAGGACTTGATCACTGCAAGGATATTATGTGGTATTAAGCCGGGGGGGGGGGTGGTGGTGGGGTGGGGGGGGGGGGGGGGGGGGTAAGAGGAGTGGCAGTAGTTTTGTGACCAAAAGATGGAAATAATACAGTCCATGAAAGAACTGACCTGCTTATGAAAACATTTGAGCATCTTTTCTTCAAAAGACTACGGGGTTTTTTTAAGAAGATATATTTTAGAAGGGGGGACATAACTACAGTAAAATTGGCTACACATTATAAATTTGACACCAACTGAAAATTTCTTAAATAGCCCAGTGTACACTTAAACTAGCTTACAAGATACCTTTTACATTTAAAATAGCTAGTCTCATTTCTAATTGGAATGTACATGCTGCTTTCTTTCCTGTACTAAAAGAACTCCACTAAAAAGTATGTCATAAAATTTACAAAAACAGCAAGAAGAAACCTTGCATCTCAAGCTTGCCTAAATACAGTGATACACAAGTGTGGGGAAAGTTACTGCCCCATCAATCCTTACAAAAGCACACATTTCCTCCTCAGTTTGTTTATTTATTTTTTGTTCAGAGGGAAGAAAGGTGGATCTGAGCCTTTTGAGTTTTTAAATGCACATCCAGCCCACCATTTAAAAAATGCAAGTCCTAACTTCCCTGCAGGGATGACCAGAGATGTGATAAAATGACTTGCTGCTCAGGGGAAGTCCTCATCCCAGCCTCTGCACTGCAGCTTTTTCTCCTGTTGCACTGAACATTTGCTTCCTTTATCTCCCCAGCAACGGGAGCTTCGCCAGGTCCGGCGATCTCCCCTGCATCGCGGTTTACTGCCTGCCTCCTGAAACGCCGCATAAGCGCTGCCCGCCGAGCAGAGCCGCGTCATACCAGGCAGCCCGCGCCCGTCG